CCCATTGACTTTGAGGGTTTTGTTGTTCGGGCGATACATTACTCGTCCGAAGAGACTATTAGACTTTGCACATTGACTAACAAAAGGGTTAATCTGGACTGTACTCGTGACATGGGTACTGGTAGCAAAAAATGTGTTAGTGTCGTAAGTGCCGTTACAATAATATTTAACTCTATCGTAAATCGTAAAAGTTTGGCCTCATCAAGCATTGTGGTGAGTCATCCGCTCGACCCGACGACTCTTTTACAAGAAAAAGTAACAGTAATCTCCTGGCATCTAACAAACAGGATCTGACATCACGATCGATAATCGTGAACATGACTTTAAAGAGATTGTATGTGTTCCTAATTTGATAATTCGGGATTAAAAGGAGTCGAAAGACAATGACCCTGCATGAAGGTATGCACACGATCTGCAGTTAGTGGGGTGTGCCATCAAAAATGCCTGAAGGGGTCTCAGGGGTACATACCACGAGAGTAATAAGACTCGCTAAGTGGGTTGCAGGCGAGACCCAACCAAGAAGGATCATAAAGTTGATACCCTAACACTGAACAAAAAGTCGTATCACCGAATAACTCATACTAAACTCGTGATTTAAATATTCGTATCCTACCGGACTGGCCGCTTGAAGATTTAATTGAGTTGAAGAATGCCCTTACGGAGTTAAAAAATTGAAAGTTAAATGGCGAAACCAAACTTAGGATTAAAGGTTTTCAGGTGATTGAGTTTTGGAATCCATAATACACGAGCACTCGTAGTCTTAAAAATAAAACGTCCGAGCTTTGATTGTGGCCAGATTCATTCCCCATATAATCTTTGTCACAGAAACTTGGCTCACCGCAGATATAGACTATTTTCTAATCACTGTAGGCTACATCTGTACTAGAAGTGACGGAGTTACAAGTCGCATGGGAGAAGAGATAATGTTATATGCTAGTGATCACTTTCGTGTACAATCAGTCATATCGAGGGTGCATGTTAGTGGTGCATATCAAACAGCGTGTTGTATAATTAAGTTTAGACACGGGTTAGTGACCATAAGAGGAATATACCGTCGTCCGTGTTGTCTTGCTAACGACTTTATCTTAAGACACAGCTGTAAAAGTGAGGCCAAATGTTGTCTCATCATTTGCAATTTCAATGCATCCCATATCAACTGGAAAGGGCTTGCAGCCCCAAGTGGAGTTTTCGATTGCTACCTCCTATCGACCACCATTCAGGTGTGGCATTGTACAATGTATCGCGAATTTGACACACACTGACGTGATTCGTCATTGCTGGATCTTGTCCTCATATACCACTGCGACAATGTCATCGACATTCAGTACCTTCCTCACTAGCAGATAGTGATCACGTCGTACTTTAGGTTTCGTATACACGGTATGCAAAACGTAACTGTCAGTCTAACCAGCGTAGTCGTCAAGTTACTTGAAAAGATAATTTGGGATAAGCTACTAAGTCACATAGATTCATACAATCTGTCAACTCCCGAGCAACACGGGTTTCGAAACAAGCATTCATGCTTGGCCAACTTATTGCGACAGAGGATTGGACATCGGCCCTAGATAACGGTCCATCTGCCGATGCGACATTTATAAACTTTGGCAAAGTGTTCGACAAGATTCCACACTTAGGCCTCATATAGAAGTTTTGGGCTTCGGAACAACAGGTGGTGTACATGAACAAATAGGAAACTTCTAATGTGACCACAGAGAGAGGGTGAAGGTTAATGGAACACTATTTGAATGGAACCCGGTCAAAATGGCGTGCCTCAAGGCACCACCTTAGGTTCTCTACTTTCTATTTCAGTGAGATATCGCTACTGACTAGGTCGTCAACATTTTATTTCTGGATGATGTCAAAATCTGAAGGACAATGAGAAGTGAGGCTGATCATTTTGTTCGTCAAGCAGACCTAGACGAATTGGTTTGATGGACTCGTGTTTTAGGCTTAGAAGTTGATTGTAGGAAGAACATGATCATGCACATTGGGTACGTAAATAGTTACAAACATACTACTGATGGTACATTTCTTCCGTGAGTGCAGTAGTATAAAGACTTAGGGGTAATAATAAATCACGACTTGAAAACAACTACACATTTCAACGCAGCAGCTGCCAAAGGGTTCCGTGTGTTGCCGTCACTTCACCGAGTGTTCAAATGATTTAACGAGGGGCCATTTTGAACTTTGTGTCCCACCTATGTAAAACTACACTTAAGGTACTGTATCCAAGCAGCTGGCTTATACCTGATTACGGATACTAACTCACTTTAGCGAGCCTGTATGAACTAAATTAGTGAAGAGACTTTCCAAGCTCCCTTACGATGAAAGCTTAAAACGCCCAGATCTTTTACCCTTGTCGTATCTTATGACGCTAAGTAACCTTATACTGACATGTCATATTCTTAGTTACGAATTGTCTTATCCTTTTTGCTCCCTTCATCACTATTAATGTCTGAGATCATAGCAAGAATGCTCACAAACCGCGATCTACTTAACGTAAAATGGGGTTCTGTTTTTCTCATCTAGTGGCCAATGACCGGAACGCCTTACCCAAACGAGTGGAATCAGCTCATCAGCGAACATTTTCAGAAAGCTGAACCTTCACTGGGAGGCAAACTGTCAGGATTAACATAGGTCCACCAATCTACTATGCTTATTACCGAAGACCGAAAACTAGAGACAACATCTGTGGTGGTTGTCGAAGCGTTTCACAATGGCGATTATAAAATAGTCCTCTACACTACCGATTTATGCCAAATGCAAGCAATAAATATGCGTTTTCAATATGGAGACTATGTGCACACTGACAGGGAAAACTTACGATCTCTAATAAACCACTCTGATTGAAGTAAATTCTTTACTAATGACAAGCCTTCAGAAACAACGGGAATACTCAATATCACAATTAAATCCGCACTACCATTTCCTCTAAAATGACTTCTAAAACAATAATTCCTTAAATCAACCAAAAAGTAGGTCTAGGCTACTAAAACTAAAAAGGATGTGTTGTATATCGAATGACATCAGTGGCCTGCACCAAATATACTCTGTTCTTGAAGGTGTACAAAGTCAGCACAACAAATAAAAACAAGCAGAGGAACACACTGCACTCACTACTGCATCTAAAACCCAAAACTTCTATCATCTCCTTGAAAAACGCTTAAGAAAGAGTGTAGATCACAGCATTCCTTTCTGTACGATGATATGATGTATTATAACCAAACTGCCTTATGTAAACTGTTAAGTGGATGATTTTCCCATAATGGGGATACATTTCGCGCTCCAGGTATTAGCAATAAGTTCATCAGCAAAAATAATTTTAGTACTATTAACTTTGATCTTAGTAATATACACGCCGCCACCAAAACACGCCGAATGCGAGTTCTTGTGCGAATTAAAATCCCATCGGTTTTTTAAGAAGAGGAGGAACGGACATAATAATAGTACTATACGGAATATTCGCGCTATTCTGAGAGTCAGGTACATACCTCGAAACATGGAAGGTAACATATGGTGTCCAGAAACACGGATGGAGACCGAAAAGCCTGACCCACAACTACAAATCTATGATTATCACTCCAGTAGTGTCACATATAATGTAAAAAGTTATACCAGATTAGTTATATTACCACCTACTTAGGGAAAATCTGAACAACTCATCACAACACTGCTCTGTTAGAACAAGATACTGCAGTAGATGACTGACAGACATTTTTAACAAGGCTCCTCGCATACATAACCAATAGAAACTAATGTTTGGACTGTATTTCGATACCAAGAAAGCTTTAGATAAGGTACCTCATAACCTCCTAATCAATAGACGTTAGTCAGTAGAAGTTGTTAGTCCCCTATTGCATTGGATTAGGTCTTCTCTCACGAACAGAGACCAAATAATCAAAATTAACTCTACATTATCTACGACGCTACCAATAACCAGTCGCATTATGTTGGGTGGTGTTTTAGTTTCCTATGCAGATGCTTCAACATAGGCAAGACCTACCATTACGTTGGTGATTTTGAAGTCATCTTTAAAAGTAACATGTGATGCACGTAGTACTATGAAAACAATACAGCATGAACTCAACAAGGTAGATAACCGATTTAAGCGCTGCAGCTTAGAATTCAGCACAGAGAGATGAGGCTGGCTAGGTATTGGAGATACGTCCCTTGAAATAAAACTGACAGGTAACTAAGAGGTTTAACTCAAAATCACACCGTAATAGACCTCAAAGTACATTACTCACACAGTCTTAACTTCTCTGAACATATCTTCACCAGATCACCTAAAATGCGGGAATCGCAAGGCTACATCATTCGTAACTTTCAAAATGAACCTAAAATCATTTTTTACAAGATAGATGTCTGACCTAACGTTGAATATTGTTCGTTCTTATGTTCCAACTTACGCCTATCTAATATGCTGAAAAAGGAAGGAAAACAACGCCCTTTAAATCGCGAAATGATTAAAAATAATTCAATTACTGATAATAGTACCCAATGTCAGATCTCAAGACTTGAACATCTCAGTAGAAGAAGGCTTAGGTCTAATTTGATTCTTTATTTTAAAATTCTTGTAAATCTTAATTATTCCACTTGTAATATAGTTCTTACCCAAGGCCCACATGTATATGAATATTGAAATAAGGTAATACGGTCAAAGTTGAAAAACAAAGATCAAAAACTCGCGAAAACTTCTTCCTCCTTAAGTACGGATCGATATGGAACAGTCTTCCCTCCAAAATACGCATGGCAGCTGGATTACATACATTCGTAATACTTCCAACTGAAGCCCTTGCTTGCACTGATATAGTATGCGCGGACATACCTACGTCCTACTCAGGCATCGTAGGCCCTCTACGTATATAGACCATGTAAAATTCTGAGTTTGATACCCTTACTTTCTTTCCTTGTAGTTGTATTAGATAATTTCCCTTCCTAATCTTTATTTGAAATAGACAGGTAGCTCACTGAACTTATGGACATTGCTCAACTACAGTCGATCGCTAAGGACAGCTCAATATCACCCTGGTGAATAAATTTGTTTTAACTTGTAAAAGAGAAGATAGTCATGGTAACCCTGAGTGACAATTTCAATAGTTATCAAATGAGCATTGTAAATACAGAAGGTACACGACTTATCTTAATAACCCAATACTTTCCTTAAGGCACTTCAGCAGTCTTGGTTATTTTTCATTTCAATAAGGAATTATGTAAAACATTCAACAATAGTGTAGTTCGTCAGAAAAGTGTAATGAAAAGCTATGGAAACGGTCAGTCAGTTGGATTTGCTGATGAAGTGAGTATCTACTAACTTACCCGATTTCATGCATAGCTTTACGATGGATTAATTGTTTAACGAGCGTCTGATGGCTTTATAAATATAGTCTTAGTTTTTCTCTAGTACTCAAGAAGAGGAACTCGGGAAAATAAAGTTGAATTTTTAAAATAAATGTCGGTAAATTTCTAGTGCTCATTACTAACAGAGTAGATCCGCCCTCCAAAAGATTATACGAAATATTTTATCCTAAAACCTAACTAACATAAACGGACACATCACTAGATTTTATCCATACTTCATTAACATCTATGATTTTTTCTACAGAATAGATTTGTGCTTCACAATTTTTATATAAGACTCAACATTTTTGGAAAGTTCCGCGTCATTTAACTTCCTAGAAACATAACCCTCGGGAAATAACGTACTGAACACCAACCTATCTAGTTTATTAATCATTTACTTCAAAAGGTTCTGGACGGAATAGGGCCTTCGCTTAACAGGCTACTGCATTTGATGGCAGTAGACCACTGATGCCTAACTGGTAGACATATATGACTGATCGGATCAGAAGCTTTTGAGGGGTCAGGGTATATAACGTTGAAGATGATACAGGTATTCAGTGTTTGACAACGCTTTTACCAGTAACACCTTCTAATATAATTCGTACCCACCAAGAGAAATCAAAAGACAGAGTCGAGGAGATCGGAAGAGTGTATTTGGCAATAACCAATATATCGGAATTCTCTGATCTAATCTGGCTAGCGATTGCGGTAGATGTTGAGCACGGCGTTACCACACGTGATCTGGTGCGGATGCCTGACCGAGCGCCTTCAGCTAGATGAGTCCACTAAAACATATGGTCAGCATCCAATGTCGAAAACTTAGAGCTATTTATTTTGGGGCTTTATTTACCGCTACAACGTCAAACTTACCCTTTTTATCAAGGACGGTTGTCTATCTATCTACCACGGTTAGCAGGTTGGGTATACAAGAGTGGCCCTTCCTGAAACCATCCTGTTGAGGTGAAAAGTTTATGGATATTAGGCAGTCATGTAAACCGTCGCAAATCAGTGACTCCATAATTTTTAAGGGTATTAAGTGAAGTGTTGTCAGCTGATGGCTTGGGATTTTGAAGTGGGACGTAAGAATGTTCTCTTAAGTATATAATCACCAGTTGAAACTTCACTGTATAAAGTCATAAAGTGTTAGGAAATATAGTGTATTTACGGAAACTTTACTATCACACCTAACAGACTAGTGAAAGCATGGTACAATATACGTTTTATGTGACAAATTAAATGAAATGGTATTACAGCTGTATTGTGCAACCAAACTCACGAGTTCCTGAGTCCATGAAGTTTTCCTTTTCTAAAACTCTTATTAAGGCTGTATCCACCAACTTTTTCAGTTTCTTTGCCTACAAAAGTTTGCTTAGGAGTATTGACAGCCGTGGGTCTGAAGAAGTGTGTCTAATAAACCAGCATTGTTATTTACAATCTTATAGGGTGTATATTACCTGATGTTTAACCTCATTGTTGTTTTATATAACATAAGGCTTAAGGTAAATCATAATTGCAATTAAGTGTTTAAGCAATTTCTCTCGTCTTCGTGTGCGCATTTATTTAAACTCTTATCTTCATTGGTAATTAGAATTTTAAGAGCCCATATACTTATCCTGTAATTTAAAGCTTTCTGGTAGTGTCAAAGCACTTAAACCTACTAGATGTGAGCCTGAAGTTTTCCAAGTGAATCTTTAATATTTACAGGGTAAAGTTAATTAAAATGGACCCGCTAATACTTCATTATTGATAAAATTACCGATAAGATCGGGATTAATGTTGGATGCATTGAATAGCATGAAAATCCACCCCAAAGTCAACGTTGATAAATGAATTGTTTAAATAATATTGATGTAAGGTATTAATCATACGCATTAAATCATTGATAACTCAACGGACTTTTAATTTGAACTGAGCATCGCCATGCCATTCATTTAAGTATCCCAATATGAAACTAATAGTTTCTCATTTTTTTTAACTAATTCTGTAGTCTTTTTGGCAATAATTCCCCTAATTTTCGGAATTTTGACGAAGACTTTTCGGGAATTTCAGACTAGTAATGATTCCCCGTTATTAATCTGAGGCTGACATAACAAAGTAAAATTGAATGCTTAACTTAGGCTTACAAATTTAACCGAATCAAATAGGTGCTAAATGTCAATGAAAAAAGAGTAAACAAACGATTACAACAGATGTAAAAGAATAAATGTTGGGTGTTTTTACTTTGAATTTCTTTTAATGTAACGGACACTTTTAGGGTGCTAATAATAAATATTTCACATGTAACTTGTTACACATACTATTTAGTGTATGCAACCTTTGAGTTTTAACTACTTTTACTAAATTTGGCTGACATAGTTTTACAAAAAGACCAAATATTGTAAAAAAACAATTATTTAGGTAAACAGAAGTATCATTAATCAAAACTGTCAATTACCTTCAAATAAACACTACTTTTAGGTTGTTTGTTTAGACGGTGACTGGAAACGCAATGCAACAATTGGCCTTCTACATTTTGATTCCGCTGTGGCGGCTCAGAGGTGGCTTATCAGCGATCCAATATTTCGTCAGCACGACTGGTTGGATGATGCGGAAATATGGATTGTACCTTTATGTACGGAAATAAGACGTGAGTATTCTAGGCTGATTTAATTAACCTACAAATTTCTTTCGTGTTTAGACACTGAAAAACCAGTCTTTATTAAGAGTAGATCGGCTAAAATAGGAAATAGACGTTATGGTTTAACCAAGTACAATTTGGATTTAAAGTTGTAACGTTCTTCAGAAAGATACTAAGTAGAGATGGGTTATTTTCCGAACAATTTTCAATACCAGAAAATATGCAAGGCTGTTTAAGTGGCAGTTGAAAGTGAAGATATAAATTAGTTACACTATGCCATCAAAGTCTTGGAATGAATGTCCAAAACAAATAATCAAATTAGAAAATACATCTATTTCAGAAAGCAAATATTATATATTTCAAATACATAAACCGAAAAACAGCATAATTTGAAGCATTTATAGTGTCAAGATGTAATGCGTTGTTGACATACATTTGGGGTAGGTTAGACAGATTTCACTAAAATACAAAGGTAAGATAATGAAAATCCTTCAATATTCCTGACTTTCTGTAGATACCTTAAAAGATACCACAGACTGACATTACATACATATATACATGTACATTTAAATTAATACAAAAACGAAAATTACTTATTTCACATATTTTTGCAGCATGGAATTACTTGCAATTGAGTTTATTTGGCTCAATTAATGGAGACAACTTTAAGAACCAATATTTACCTAAATTTGAAGAGTCGATTTCAAAATTTGGAGGAGTACCATTTATTAGTTCAACTTCCTATATTGAAGTACCTCGAGGACTAAAAGAAATCGACTATTTAATTATTACTGGATGGCCAGATGACGATAGCTCTCTTAAGTGGAATCAGAGTCGTAAGTTGAAGCATAAGCTCATTTATAAATGCAAACTAATATGAGAGTGGGTTTACTTTCTAAAGGAAATTTGATTTGAGCATACAGTGTCGGGCCTAAAAGCAACCTGATTTTCATATGCTTCATGTTCCTTAAATTTAGTTGAAGCTACAGGATTTTGAGGGCTTGAACAGCTTATTAGCGCATTCTTGGTAACTGGTTATTATGAGGTTGTATTTCCTTATACTTCTCCACTGTCTTGTGGATTGAACCTCAAGGTCGAAGGCTCGCAGGTTGGCTGCCTATGAAAGTGACCTGGTTCTGTCTGGATATTCAAGTAGTATCTCAACCTTCTCACAAATGTAACAACGAATTGTTATGAAGCTGATCCGCTTGCTCTGTTTGACTACTGACGTGGTATATAATTACAACTGACTTATTTAGAGCGTTTCTATTTTACAAAACTCTACTTACCTGTTTCTTTTTTTCCAACTTGGAATAGAACAAGAGCTGTGTTCGGCTGTCCTTGGACAGTCTTAAGGTTGATGTATGTTGTCTATCGGATCCCCGTATTCAAGACGCTAACACATTATTGCACATTCACTCCCCACCAATCGAAACGCCTGTATCACGTGGATTTACCCATGGAACCCTTGCATTGTCGGGTTTGTTGGCATTAGTGCCTCATTGACCCCCAGGGTAGAAGCAATACTAACCAATTAAGCCCCCACTGACTGTCGTTTACATGTCCTGTCAGATCATAAAGCTACATCAAAGTAAATAAAAACTGACGTGCGAAACGATGCATTTTCGTAATCGCCGTTTACGCCCTAACACACTGCAACTAGAGTGCAATCAAATATGCGTTCTACCAATGGCTAAATGATGTCCTCAAGATAGGGCGCTTTATAGGTGGCGCAGTGCTAGCTGCATATCTGGATATCAAAATCGAGTGTCTGGGAACAGAAGAGAGTAGTCGAAGTGGATAATGCGGAATTGTAGATCATATATCAGATAACAATGTCCAACTCCTAAAGCTTTGGTCAGAGCACAGTCCATTTTCGACAAAGATGGAATTTCGGAATAGCTATCCCCACTGTGCTACCTGGTGGCATCCTTCGAAAAATCAGGCTTCGACTCAGATTGACTACTTTGTGACCGTCTACCCTGGCGTGATTGTGTGCAAAATTTTCGCTCCTTTTAGAGCACTTATCTGGACTAAGTATCCACTAGTTTATGCCAGTCTTATCCAACGTTTCAGTGGCCAGCAAACTCACCATTTTAAAAGGATCGATATCAACAAATTGGCTCCATATTCCGATGAAACTAAATATTAAACCAAGCACGATTCAAGGCTAGCAGCTAACAACCCACCAAAAAGTGTAAATGACCACTGAGTTCATTTGTATGACACCATGAAAATAGCTAAAGTCGCTTCCGGCTTTGTGTAACATCCCACTTATAAGCGATGGGTTTCTACAGCGTCCTTACATTTCTTTGAACCACATCGGTCAACACCAGATAATCGCGAGTTCAACGAGACGTAGATTCCTACTTAGTGAAACTTTACAGTTCGCGCAAAGATCGAGAAACCTGGTAGTCAGAGCAATCTAATAAGTTAGGAGCAGCATCTTCATCTGGTAATTACCGGGAGCTATCAGAACTCATCCGAACCACTGACACCAAGAAGACTGATGTGAGACAATCTATGAAGTTGATAGACCACCAGTCAGTAACACCCAATGACGTCTTGGAGTACGAACATAAGTCCTCGAAAGACTGTTCAACTGGCTTACTAACCCAAAAAGATCACTCTATCTTCTTTCCCCGGTTCAATGAAGATTGATCCATCTAAAGAGGTTCGTACGGAACTCCAGCTTCTGAAGATCCACAAGTAGACAGGTCCAAATGAATTACCCCCAGCTCTTCTTAAGGATGGTTTATTTATTTTAAGATATGGATTTAATACTTCAGCGAGAGTAGCTTTGCTCCATGGTCGAAATACCTGACCTCTTCGAATTCAGGATGCTAGACGATTCTTTGTTTTTTTTTATAGTCGCTAGCTCTGAAGAATCACTAACATTCAGGAGTGACAACCCGTTAGTAATGCATAGGTTCGAAAACGCGCGTTCGGATACAGTGATGATATCATCATCTCGAAACACCAGGTTTAGTGGCTTAGACGTGAATTATGAACACTATCCCGAGGAAGTCTACATCCTCCATTATTTGTCGACACTGGTTGGAGAAAGTCATGCTCAGTTCTTGACACAGTGCTGTGGTATGGAAGAAAGCTGTAAATCACTAGTATGTCGATCCTTCACGACTCTGGTAAGGGTCCTAGAGATAATGTAACAGTGGTTTGGAACGTCGTGAGACAGCCCACAATATTAGCTATTGGCAGTCCTGCTGTAATTTTCTTTTACTTTCTTCATAAAAACGAAAGATTTTTAATTGAGTGGATTCTTTGATATAATTCTTCTAAATGAAATGTTCCTCATGTTATATGCTACTCTTGTTCACCTATTTTTACTCACTAATTGTTTGTTATTTTACATTCACTTACTTTTATCTGTCGCTTCACATTTTCTATTTGTGTGGCGAAAACACTTATTTTGGTGCTTATTTGTACCAATATTTGTATGTCCAAAAAATAAATAAGTAGACGTTGAATTGTTGGAAAGACCACATTTTCAAAACTACATTGGACACACTGATCGTATAACTTATCTTCTCTTTTACAAACTAAGACGACTAGTGAACACGACCAGTTTGCTGAAAGTTGCCCTTACTTCTCGTGTATCGAGACTGCTAAGAGTTTTCAAACATTTAATTCCTTAGAGTCCCACGAAACACTTCATTTCCCTAATCTTTTGGTTTAGTTTCTCCACAAACTTCACTGTGGTTTGTATAGTTGACTCAAGATCAAATAGACTATCTTGTGATGTGCATATTTTCCATCGTATCGATTTTATGCTGTGCTGGAATTATGAAACTCCTACTTCACTTAACCCATGTACATGCAGACTACTTGGTTGGGGTCCGCGTGGCAATCATAACCAATGGTTGGAGACTCTATGTGACATGAATCATAATCGACCGCAATGGCGTAGATGTATAAATATAATTTATACCTTCCTTTCTATGAAGTAATTCTTTCTTCCTATATTATATCGTTATACGCAATCTTCCCCTTATATATTACTACCATTGAAGTAACTACTATGAATTTAGTGTTCATCTTGTTGCGCTAATGAGGTGTGGCAACTTGGACCGATGCATATATGTGCCTGGTCCTACGTTGTAACTGACTGACTGACTTTAACCCACCTACATGGGTTAATATTATACTATAGCCTCATTCTTTATAAGTCTCATAGCCTGCATTGAAACGCCATGGGGCATGTGTTTTTAAGACGGATCAATTTCAACCCCCTCCTCTGGCCTGCACAAAACATCACCATCGAGTTTTGATTGCCCGTAGGAAGTATGTTACTGCTCCCACACTAACGCAGTAAGGAATACAACCTCGTCCTTGAGTCCGGAACTTGATTTTGATCGAACCTGTTGGGTATGCCAGAAACTCAAGGAACAAGTTTTCCAGTCAATATAGCTTGGTTAGACCGTCCTAATATACAGACGGCAATTAAGATCAAACTAAGTTTGTGCATGTACGGTAATGACTTATGTAATGTGCTGATGAATGTGACAGACCAGATAATCGAAGCATTAATCAATAAAAAATCTTTAAACAATTAAAACCGTGCTCCTAATAGCTTATCACCAATAAAATACACGAATATGTTTAACTGAGTTTTGCATTCACATACAATGGTTTTAAAATAAAGGCGTAGTTCAATATTATTTAGGTGGATTACAATAAGCAGGCACATATTTGTAGTAATCCCAAAACGGCATGTTTTGCAAGAACATCCTAATATCTTAATCAATATCTACAATATAAGCTGCAGTGATGTATTGCCTTTTAACTAACACTTATTTTGCAGCAAATAACCGACTTTATACAGCAACATGACAAGAAACTACAAAGTACAACGTAATGAAACTGTTGTTCCGAAACACGAACAGCTGATATTGGAGAAACACTTAGGTGTTGAGACTTATGTATTTGTTCAATTAAAAAGGTGGCGAACACCAATGGATTTTGTCGTCTTAACAAGCCCGAAGATTTTGAAATTTAGTTGAATAATTAGTTAGATTTTATGCCTCAGTAATCATGTCTTACCAAACTTTTATTCGAAATGAAAAACCCTTATCATAAAGATAAAAATAAGATATATAACTTTACTAATCACTTAATTTACTTAAACTTCGCTGATCCATGAAACCATAGTTATTTTGCCTATTTCGTTTATACCTACAGATGAAGCAGAAGAACTAAGAAATATGCAGGAATCCTTTTCAAAGTCTTCGATAATATTGGCGATGATAAGACATAACTACTAGTGCGTCATTATTAATGGTTCATATATGTACACAATTATCAAAGCATAATTGTAAAATAAACAAATGTTTGCAACAAGAGTAGCACCTGCAACTAAAAATAGAAACTTCAAAAACAATCAACTCGACTTCCGAGACCGTTTGTGTACTTTACTGAATTACTAGCATGGAGAAAAGTGAAGATCTCATCAAATAATGAACATAGATAAGCAGTAACAAAATCCTTATTTGACTAATACACCGTCATAAGGCTCTAGGAAGAATGTTTCTTTGAGATATCACCCCAACCTCGTGAACTAACTAAACGCGTAGTCGGAGTAGCAATGAACATTTCACTCAAAGCTAAACAAAATAACAAAAGCTATGGTGATCTAAGCATACTTTAACCCTAAAATTTATAAGCCAAGACAAGTGTTCACTACAAGAAGTAATTTTCACAAATTATAAAGTTTATACTGGGAAATTTGGCCGAAGGATGATCTAAAGTCAGATTTACGTTCCTCAAACTTGAACATTAAATTCATTTGATAGTTGTTTTTAGTAACACACGTAAATAGCGTTGGAAAGGACACTTCAGATGTATAACAATTCGAGACTTATTTTAACTGAATAAACCAACAACGTCTATGGCATCAGTAGTGAATGGACTGGGTTTTAACTTTAAAGTCAATAAGATTTTCATTCATTTTCAAATAAACTACACATAAAACAAATAATAGTAATAATAATAACAATAATAATAATATAGTCTCGAGAGCACTGATGCAGTCAGTCAGTAACAACATAGAACTTCGTACGTACGTACATCAGTTCGAGTTGCCACACCACATTAGCACGCAGATGCAGTGGTTGATTCAAACCCCGTAGTGGTAGAGGTAATAAGAGTATAATCAGTAATCGGGAAAATTAGTGTTTCGAGAGTATACTACAGTGAAATAAATTTGGGAAAAAAAGAGATAAGGAGGAATAAGATCAAAATTTGGGAGAACACAAAGAGTGTATGCACCTGCGCCATTGCAAACGATTTTGAGCCATGTCATTCAAGGTCTCTAACCATCGGTTGCTATCATCTCGTGGTCCCCAGCCAGGTAGTCTACACCTACCAACATGACTCAGTCCACTTGTCAGCGACTTCATGGACTTGTGCCATGTTTCGGTCTGGCCGCCCCTAGCTTTCTTCCAACCTACTCCTATACTACTGATGCGTGGTTCGCTCATAATTTATGTTACCTTTTCCACAAAGCCCCCGAATGCCCTGGTATGGCCGAGAATGAGGACAGTCATCTCTCCGTCTCGAAATGCCCTCACATGGCCACGTGCATACAACCACTGCCAGAGAAGTCCTACTCACTGCCTTCTCTCACCAGGGTGTTGTTTTCGGAATTGAGAGGACGAAAAGCGAATGTCCATCTTCTTAACTGGGTCGATGAACACAGACCCACCTAGGGGAGTTGGAAAACCCTGATTCCAAACTAATGGTGCACATGGGCTCCAGGATCCTGAGCGAACAAACGGCGTATGAACCAATTATTGGTCACCGGCTACCAAGGGACTGCATCTCCTTACGTTGATCCAATGGACTGGACCTCCAGGTCAAAGGCTCCGGGTTTGGCCCCCTAAGAAAACAGCTTGCTTTGGTTTGGGCACCCGGGCAGTATCCCAGCCCTCATATAAATCGATTGATTTATGTAGCGCATATCTACTGGTTGCCTCCTTGTACCAATGTTTACGTGTTTACATAAACAAATTTCCCACAAATTGAACTACTAGAGGAAGATTACTCAAACAAGTCTTCTAGAGGTCATTTATCTGTGAAGCCTGAAATATCGATAACTAATGGGTAACTGAATAACTATCCTTCCTCCACCGACAATTCCTCAAGTACCTCTTCGTTACGAACTGCCACTTGGTGGTTATTCTGTAATATTAAAGTGTGCGACGAAACACTTATCATGCATCAATAAAAACATGTCAACAAAAATGTGACTGATGTTGCAGACAACTACTCTAAGTCTCACGCATTACAAGAAAGGGTCAAACAAGTTAACATATATATGCTTGTTCCCCAATACAAATCAAAAACAGTAATAAACGATAACATAACATTGCTGACAATACAGAAATTGTTTGTATTTAAAATGATGCGATAACATGTACATTGACTAGTTGGTTCTCCCGTAAGCTTGGACAATATTTCATAGAATCAGCACAGATAGACATTCGTATTAGACACTAAAAAACGGAAATAAAAATTAGAAAATAGATAGGCAAGATGATTACGAAATTTTTATTGTGAACACCCCATCTCTACATATCTAACGTAACTATTAGAGTAAATTTAAAAAATGTCTACTGGAGAAAACACGTAACTTATTTAGCTATATACCTTAAATTTAGCCGATAGCTTCTCCCAAAAATCATATAAACAATTATTTAAAAAAAGGATTTCTGCAGCCCTAAATGAGGAATTTCAGCATAAGTATGTGTTCTGATTGGCATATATCTAGAATGAAGACCTACTTACCTTGGCAAATACATTATGACAAAGACTTCTGGCAGGGTGGAGACGTATGTATATCCAAAGGTTCATCAACTGCTCTAGCCTTATGTGAAATAGGTAACGGAAACGCACAACTTACTATAACTGATAAAGCATGCACACCAGACTGCAGTTCATGTTCAACTGATTTATACACTAAGCGTTCTCTCTATACTGATACATACTGATCGAATAAATCTTACCTGTACAGGAGAAAGATTATTAAAATGATGTGACACGATTATAACTCTGAAATGCGTCTCCCCACCTACAAGCATTGACAAAATGTTTGAGTTTTATGAGAACTTATATGCCTATTTTCTGGTTATGACGGTGACTTTCGTTATATATTCTCAAGAAGCTCGGCTGAAGAGTGAGGGAAAGTTGAACAATTTACATTGAACTTCTGAGATAAAACCAGGTTTAATCGCGATTCTACTGGACCGGCACTTGAAAACATGTATCTCCCAGTGCTATTTGACAAAGACGAGATTACTTTGTACAGCCCTGCAGAACTACCGAACAACATATTCACCTGTAGTCAGCTGTCTTTTTGGAATAATAATACAGTGATCTAAAATGCCGAAGTACGAAGAGAGGAGCTGAAACTGAAACGGAAAGGTACAACCAGAAGAATTCTTTCGGTTAGGGAGGATACAACCACTTTTTATGAAGAAAGTAGTGTTACTGTATAACATTTTCTCGTTTCACATAAGATATATAGGGTGAGGACAGATGATATTGTACAGAAAAATAAAACCTACTTAAAAAAACTGGTAGCACGCTACTGAGTAGCATCAATGATATACTTCTAACACTCACAAAACACAAACTAGAAATTTTTGAGCTTTGGAGGACATCGAAACGGAGACAAATATAGAGAATGCTTACAGTAAAACTTTGGGGTGACTTAGAAGAAACTGGACCTTCAAGCAGTTTTCTCCCAATATCCAGAAAGAATTCTTTTCTGCCAACGTAACTATTTTTGAGCAGAAATTTTCCCAAGTAACCTAACTTTCTCCAAAGTCCTTTAGCATGTACACCTTTTGTGAATTTAAAATAAATGCTTAAAACCCAATAAACTCACTTTCCCTCTGATAAGCTAAGTTTGAGGGGAAACATAGGATAACATCTATCAGATCCATACATTCGACGGAAGTTAGCCAAGAAAATAAGAGGAGCGTTACCGTACATATCATACACTATTTACACAATGAACTATAGAAAAACTATGCAACCGGAAGAAAAATCGTATAGTAAATCGCTTACAACAATGTGCATGTATTCGTATAGAAATAAAATGCCACTCACGGATTTCAGTTTAACTACTTTGATGCCCATTTCCACCTAGAGAGATTATTAAGATCCCGAGCTCCCAATTTTCGGAAAGCCGCTATAATAAATTTTCGGAAAATGGCACGGAAACCCAAAATTTCCCCAAAGTTTGAGGATTTCCTCAGAATCTTACAACAATTTCGGGAAGTGGGCTTGTATTTATTAATGAAACCACAATTGTGTAAAATTTTGTGGAAAAACGCAAAATTCCCCTTGACTTTGGAGTTTTTCTTCAAAACCTTTTGACGCGAAACTTCTCCAAAGATTTCTAGACATCACGGAAAACCTGAAGAGAATACATACGTACATTTCTTACTGGGATGCTACATTATTTTTCGTCAACTACGCGTTGCCTAAGAAACTTAGCGTTTATCGATTTATCGCTGTTAATAAAAGACTGATTTGTGATACATAGAAGTGTTTATTACAGTTAATGAAATTACAAATAAATCATTTATACAATGTTTTTCATTGCTTCGTAAGAGGAACAGGTTACGTTGACGTTAAACTATCATTCACAATGTTCTAGAAGAAAAACTTTTTTGTGTATAATGAAATGTCAAGATATGTGAAACGTTGATAAGGAACAAACGGTATGACAATTATGTTAATAATGCGAACAAAGAACTTACAGTTACGTCTGATAAAACTTGCGAATCCAGCTGTGTTAGCGGGACATAGACTAGATTAAAGCATCCTCAATGCATGATTGCTTTGGTGCACGCTGATTGGCTAATTCTTATCCAATCAGCACTAGCCGATAGTTGGAGAACACTCTGGAATCTTCTTATGTAAAAACTATAAATATACTGACGTTTTCCCTATTGGGCTTCTGACTTGCTATTTGGAATATAATCTCTTTCCTGTTCAACCGTGTTCTGATTTGGGGACTTGTCGAGTGAATCGGTGTCCGAGAATACTAAGCAATAGGAATAGCTGGGTCATAACCGTAAGAAAAAGAGCGATTATAACAGTGGCGACGGGGAAAAACTAAAGAAAAATGGCAATTTCTTTAGAACAGTTGCGGTTAATATTACAGCACCAGCAGAAGTTGTTAGCCTTGCAACAACAACTATTGAGCACACTTTTCACTCGACCAGAAAATAAGAAATCTGTTTATGATGCAGTAACAGACATTTCAGAAGCATATCCAGTGGAGGGTTCAAATCCCTTTATACCTGAATCAGAACGTAATATTTGTAACGTGTCCGGCTCACAGCAAGAAAATACTGTGCTGAATGCTCATAAAGTTGTGGCAATACGAGATGATCAAGAGCCAGACCCTGTAGATGAAGCCCGGAGTCCAGAATTGAAGGAAACACTACTGGTCCTGTCTAGCTCTGAAAATAAATTTCAGCTAGAACAAAATTATGGTCCACGTGATATTAGCCGAAAAAGCTATGGGGACTCGTATTCAGAAAATAACTGCAGTGACACGATGAACCCAATTATACCGAATGTTACTCAAAATCATTGTGAGACAGAAATTTATACTGAATCAGCTTATCTGATTTCTAATGACAATGTATCAGATATGGGTTCTCAGAATAATGTGATGAAATTTCTTATAAAAATGAGGAAGATATGTCGGCTGAGTCAAATTATGGTCAGAAGTCTAAATTAATTTTGTTAGATGGTGATTTTCGTAATGATCCATTATCCACTGATGAAATTTCTAATGCATTTGAAAGTAATGCTTCAGAAGAATTAAACTCTGACCTCAAATCAAAGGTCGTTCATTATCATCTAGTCATTTCTAGTGGATCCGACATTCAATGCAAGAAACATCGTTTAAATAAAGTCCTATTATTTGTAACTTGGAGATATAAGGATCCGACATTGTTTCGCGGAGGAGGAGAATGTTGGAGAATTAAAAGTTATGCATACTTTTATTTTTAAAAAAAATCAAAACGCCGGGAACAGACATGTCAGTATCTGTGCAAGAAAAAAAATGATTATTCTGTATTGCCTAGACGATGAACTAATCGAAAGCACAAGCCAGTCACTCAGTTGCAGTTGGACCCTAGCACCAGATCCTACGAATCTGCTCAAAGGGGAGGTGTTAGCGGGACATAGACTAGATTAAAGCATGCTCAATGCATGATTGCTTTGGTGCACACTGATTGGCTAATTCTTATCCAATCAGCACTAGCCGATAGTTGGAGAACACTCTGGAATCTTCTTATGTAAAAACTATAAATATACTGACGTTTTCCCTATTGTGCTTCTGACTTGCTATTTGGAATATAATCTCTTTCCTGTTCAACCGTGTTCTGATTTGGGGACTTGTCGAGTGAATCGGTGTCCGAGAATACTACGCAATAGGAATAGCTGGGTCATAACCGTAAGAAGAAAAGAGCGATTATAACAAGCTGAAAGCAAGACGGACAAGACAAAAGTCGTATCAGTGTAAATATTGATCACAAAGTAATATTAAAAGCGCAATATGTATTATAACAAACATGTAAAGTGGTTTAAGCTCACCCTTTCTTTGGGTCGCCATCCACGTTTATTTACTTTATCTCCTGCGTCATGCAAAAAAGCCTGGCTTGCTATACCCATGGCGTGTATTATTTCCTTTTCCGGACAGGTCGCACTTCGGAAACGCGAACACAGAGCACCTACAAATATGTTAATACAGTAGTATGGACTTACTTTGAACCGTCGTGTAAAATTTGTACTTACTAATACCCAATTTACTTTTTGTTCCGTGCAAAGTGTACGTGTTCTCCAGTTCCGGCGAAAGCAGGTAACGCAAACACGCTTTCACTGATTTACGAGGATCGTCACATACGAGCTCGTATAATCTCCCCACCTAAAATTTGTTCAAACACCTGTAACAACTTACGAAATGATCACGAAACTTTAGGTCATCTAAAGCAACTTCTAAAGAACGCAACTCCTCATGCGTTCTTAATGGGAAAGCGATAGCTGCAGCATCTATTTGCTCCGTACGCTTGTCACTTATACCCATAGATAAGCGTCCACATAAAGCGATCACTATCCATCTTGCTAGGCAGTTCAGTGACCGCTTTCAGAATCATTGTAAACATTTTATTTGCATCATTGCACAACCTTTTGTTATCAGGAATACAGTAAACGCAACTTACGGTTTATTAACTTCCGTCAATGTACATGGAAGTGGTGGTGATGAAACCTCTGTTTTGGATGATCTACTATATGAGTATTGATTAAATAGGTACATACTTCGCTATAGGAGAAAATCTTCCTGTCAAAATGTCGATAACTGTAAAATCGACTGGGGCAAATCCAGCTTCAACTTCTAGTTCTTCAGAGGTGCATTGTGATAGTCGATTCACGTTGAGAAAATGTACCGTACTGCATCGTTGTGGTAAGTTGTAATCAATTTAAATTTATTGTTTCCAGATGACTACAATTTAGCTGAGGAAATGAAAGTATGTTTAACCAATACTCGGCTACAATACGAACATTACAACAAATAATAAAACACTGCCGTGTGAGGCGCAAAAGCCAAAAAGGTAAATTGTTTAACTTACTAAATCACTTTTGTGTTGGGGCTACGAAACGAAGACTTGACGATTATCTATGCACCTCTGAAGATAATCGTCGGCTTTTGCGCTTCACACGGCAGTGTTTTATCATTTGTTGTAATGTTCGTATTGTAGCCGAGTACTGTGGTTAAACATACATTTCGTAAGTTGTTACAGGTGTTTGAACAAATTTTAGGTGGGGAGATTATACGAGCTCGTATGTGACGATCCTCGTAAATCAGTGAAAGCGTGTTTGCGTTACCTGCTTTCGCCGGAACTGGAGAACACGTACACTTTGCACGGAACAAAAGTAAATTGGGTATTAGTAAGTACAAATTTTACATGACGGTTCAAAGTAAGTCCACACTACTGTATTAACATATTTGTAGGTGCTCTGTGTTCGCGTTTCCGAAGTGCGACCTGTCCGGAAAAGGAAATAATACACGCCATGGGTATAGCAAGCCAGGCTTTTTTGCATGACGCAGGAGATAAAGTAAATAAACGTGGATGGCAACCCAAAGAAAGGGTAAGCTTAAACCACTTTACATGTTTGTTATAATACATATTGCGCTTTTAATATTACTTTGTGATCAATATTTACACTGATACGACTTTTGTCTTGTCCGTCTTGCTTTCAGCTGGATTCGCAAGTTTTATCAGACGTAACTGTAAGTTCTTTGTTCGCATTATTAACATAATTGTCATACCGTTTGTTCCTTATCAACGTTTCACATATCTTGACATTTCATTATACACAAAAAAGTTTTTCTTCTAGAACATTGTGAATGATAGTTTAACGTCAACGTAACCTGTTCCTCTTACGAAGCAATGAAAAACATTGTATAAATGATTTATTTGTAATTTCATTAACTGTAATAAACACTTCTATGTATCACAAATCAGTCTTTTATTAACAGCGATAAATCGATAAACGCTAAGTTTCTTAGGCAACGCGTAGTTGACGAAAAATAATGTAGCATCCCAGTAAGAAATGTACGTATGTATTCTCTTCAGGTTTTCCGTGATGTCTAGAAATCTTTGGAGAAGTTTCGCGTCAAAAGGTTTTGAAGAAAAACTCCAAAGTCAAGGGGAATTTTGCGTTTTTCCACAAAATTTTACACAATTGTGGTTTCATTAATAAATACAAGCCCACTTCCCGAAATTGTTGTAAGATTCTGAGGAAATCCTCAAACTTTGGGGAAATTTTGGGGTTTCCGTGCCATTTCCCCAAAACTTCCCTAAGGTTCCCAATGGCGGTTTACCGAATATTGGGAAATTTGAATATTTTCACACTTCGAGAAAAATGAGTGAATGACATAGTTTATTCTGTAGAAAATTCAAGGTACGAAGACTGGACGATAAGGTAGCTAACTGAACTTAGTTACAACAATCCGAATTATGTTCAACATGTATACTCAATCAGTTTCCTGTTCGTGCCTATAAGTGTAAGTTTTGTGGCTATCTCTAGTTTCATGTTGCAAGCCTTCATTAACCATTCAGCCATTCTAACCATCTATAAATTTAGAATTGTAATCAACTTACAGACTGATCTCAACAACCCAAGTCAAGCGATATTTCTGAAATGTGTAATGCACCCTCCGTTGGTAGTACAAATTTCAAATCCTGTTCAATACTATTGAACATAATAGTCAAAATGGTTTAAATGATTGTAGACGGAATGAAAGGTGGAGTTATACGCAAAGTTTCCATGTGAACGTTTACGAAATCGAGTCGCGTTTAATTGTAGCCGGAATAGAAGAAGCTTACGCTTAACGGACATCCGTGCCAAGTAACAGTGGATCGCAAATAACTCCGGGCAGGAAACTCGGTATACAAACGATAATAAATGAAAACGAACTTGGTAAATCATATTAGGATATTTCTCTTAGTCCATAAGAATAGGTCAAGTCTCCTCTTAAAGGTCTACTGTGAAGTTGCTTGTACTAGATCAGTCGGCAGCGAATTACAGCATTTGACAACTCTTAAGGAATAGAAGTTGTGTATAGAGTCCGTTCTGCTGTGTTGTGTCTCCAATTTCTGCGTACCTCTCTCCAAAGTTCCACATCGTCAGTAAAAAGTAATGTCTGGCGATACTTGTTGTGGAAGATCGTTTATATAAATCAAGAGAATTTCTAGTACTGAACCGTGGGGGACTCCACTAGGATATTCCATAGCCTGTGAAAAAGTGGAGTTAACCCTGACCTTAAAACGTCGATCTTTTAGATATGAAATGAGCCAGTCAGTTAAAGGTGATCCGATACCCAATCGTTTGGGTTTAATGATAAGACATATATAGTCGACCCCATCAAAAGCCTTTGAGAAATCAAGGTAAATGACGTCAACCTTCCCCTTACAAACAAGGAAGGTTGTTCATCTGTTCACCATAGTCAGCAGGTCGGTTTTATAAGAATGAGCCTTCCTGAAACCATTCTTTTGTTCCGATAATTCAAAACGATTCTCATGAAGTAGGGTTTTTAATTGACATCTTCACATAACTCCACTAAGGTGTTAGAGATGTTAGAGATCACCAGAGGTGCAAGATGGTGGTACACGTGAAGTGGCTTGTTGTACAAATAAATTTATACATGGGTTAGTGACCATTGGAGGAATATTCCGTAGTCCATGTTTTTTTGCTGTCGACTTTGTCCTAAGTCACATGTGTACACGGAGCAAAGATGATTGTCGTCTCATCACTAACGATTTCAATACGCCATGTATCAACTGGGAAGAGCTTACAACTTTAGGCGGATGTTTTGATGGCAGCCAACTGACAAGGACTATTCAATGGACACTTGCACTACGTACCACAAGACCGATAAATATTAACTTATAACACGAACTATCATTCTTGGACACTGTATTTGCACACCACTGTGATAATTTCACCGATATTACGTACTTTGCCCACTAGCAAACGGCGATCACGTTTAACTGTACTTTACTTTCCCGATACAATTACGGTATGCATCTGTCCCACGCCGTCTCAATGTTTGGCGGGTAACACTTTGGTAATTAGGGACTTTGTTATTTCGACAGATTCACCATTCAAGGCGGATGAATAAGCTTAAAGCCATATCAGAGTCTGTAGTATTATCGTTCATTTCATGAATAACGCGTGAGCTGTCACACTGACCCCCATAGATAGGTAGTGAAACATTAAAGCTACCTAAGCGTGGCAGACAATTCTGGGACTCATCCCTGACAGCGGATCATAAACCATTTGAACGTGGATACTGAAAAATCTGGAATATATATGTAAAAATACCATAGCAATATTCCGCTCCACTTACGAAAAAATTAGGCATACGTCAACCATACTTCCCCAGGACAATAGGTTTCATATGTAAAGTGAAGGATAAGGCGCAGTAATAAAATTCCTCCATTATCGTTGCACGAAAATTCAGCCATACATGAATCGGATCTGAACAAACTTGAGACTTTATCACACTATTTCACTGAAGTCTACCCTATGGGTATTGTTGACAACACTTCCCGCAACCACACCACTAACTACCAGCTATAGAATCAGTACATGTGACTGAAAAAGCTATTCTACAGTTTCTCATTAACCTCAAGCCCAGCAAGTTACTGGGTTCTGATGAACCACATTCATTATTTCTGTATTCTCGAGCGAATACTATTACAGGACCACTGACGATGCTGTTTAACATGCTTCTATCCCTAACTCGACTCCTTAGGTATTGTAAAGGTGATGAAGTTAGCCGTACATTTGAGTATGATAGAGATATATCGTATTCGGATACCGACCTGTCAGATCAAGTAGCATAGTAGTTAGGTTACATCAAGAAACAGTTCGAGCAAAGTTGCTAAGCGACGTAGAACCCCACAGTCCTTTAATTCCACAGTTACATAAGTTTCAGAATTAGCATTCACGCTTAGCTAATTCACTAATTGTGAGAGTGCAGTAGCTTAAGATGATGGTTTGTCGATTGATATTTGCAGAGTTTAGCATAGCATTTGATAACATCACTTAGGGCCTATCCAGAAGCTCTCCAAGTATTGGAATAACAGGTGCCGCACAAGACTGCACAGGAAAATTTGTGTAGAGAAAGTGTAAAGATAACTGGAAAACTATCCGAGTGGAAGCCAGACGAAATTGATCTACTTCAAGGCAAGATTTTAGACTCTATATTTCCTCTCTACCTCCATAGATGACCGAAACTGCTAAGTCAGCGACACTAATGTTTGCCGATGATTTCAAAATATGGAGAGCAATAAGTGGTGAAGCAGATTGTCTTTATCTGAAAGCCAACCCATACGAATTAGTTACATGGTTCCATAGTTGGTACTTGGAAATTATTTACGGGAAGAGTATGTTAATGCATATCAGACACGGAAATAGTTATCTGTATACAATCGACAGTACATCTCTTCCACACGAACTAGAACAAAAAGTAGCAGTAATTTGACAGCAAAACAAATGTACATTGAAATGCAACAGCCTTCAAAGGTTTTCGAGTGTTATGGTCGTTGCCTCGAGCATTCAAATGCTTTGTCAAGATTGTAACGACCGAACAGCCAATATCCGGTTGGAACAACGGACTGACGAACCCAAAATTTATTCGATTAGACCACACCAAGTTCCTCTGTATAGCCCACAACGCGTCTTTGAGATACTCGTATTATATTATATCAAAACACAAACTCTGTGCTCAATATAAACGGTTCTAATTAAGAAAACAGAACAAGTTACATCAAAAATACAAAATACCTCAAACGGTACAGCCTGTGCTATACAGTCAGAAGTTTCTCTAACGCAAAGTAGCGCGCTAAACAATGAAAGAGACAGTTAACACTAAAGGGTTTGATACCTGAGAATCAATACAAATATTCCCAATAAGATGGGATCAAATATCTATCTGCAGGGATTGCAGCAATTCTCCCAAGCAGACAGTCAGAAGGTTAACAGTCACAAACTGAACCACGCCGTGACCTTGAGCTTAGTCAAACACAACCTTACTGTCAATGGTCCGGCAACATGCAATAGAAAATTAGGTAACAAAAATAAGTCTTTAATCAAAATCACATAATAAAGGCTCAAACGGGGAAGACTGAAGAACAAAAGACATGGTTAAACGAGATCGAAACAAGGGTTGGAATACACAAAAGGGAGAAGGAACAAATAAATGAAAATACTGTTAAACAAAGAAGCTGCAGAGGGATTTTTACTGTTCTCTTTCCGTTACACCGGCCCCCAAAATCCCTCCAGCTACGCAAAGACACCTTAGAATACATTTCCGTCATGGCTCTCCTTACTAACTGCTCTATATCAATGGGAGGCACAGGACTTACAACAGTACGCCTGTACATCCATAAACCTAAGCTACAATCTACAATTACTCGGCTCCCTCTAGAAGGCAGAGCTTTCGCACATCTCTTCTTACTACACCTTTTCTCATTCGCACTATCACTGTTCTTACCAACCCATCTCTATCTGTCTCGCACTTATCAACCCGTCCCATTGGCCATGAACCCCGAGTAGTTGCATCGTTAGCCACTAGAACTACATCACCTTCTTTTAAGTTTCTGTGTTTGCAAAACCATTTCTGCCTCACTTGCAGTAAAGGAATGTACTCTTTTATCCATCGACGCCAGAAGGTATTGGCTAAACAATTAACCTGTCTCCATCGCTTTGAATACCTATCCGTAACACTACACTCCATTCCTAAACCATCACAGTCTCTTAGTAATAACAAAGTGTTTGGCGTGAGCGCCAAATCATCCTTTTCATCTGACGTCACAGGAACGATTGGGCGGTTGTTTAAAATTCGTTCTACCTCCACAAAATAAGTTGCCAAACTATCATCGTGTAATATTTGCCCGTTGGAAATAGATAGTAAGATCCTCCGAACAGACCGTATTAATCTCTCCCAAACTCCGCCTCGATGGCTAGCTAGTGGGGGGTTGAAATGCCAGCGTATACCCTTCGATACTGTTAAGTCGTTTATTCTATGCTTGTCCCACACACTCATATTAGCCCGTAATTCGGAAGTAGCCCCGACAAAGTTAGTTCCATTGTCGCTATAGATTTCCTTAGGAGTTCCTCTTCTTCCTATGAAACGTATTAAAGCCATTATAAAAGCATCAGTACTCAAATTGAAAGCTACTTCCAAATGTACGGCACGTGTTTGGAGACACGTAAATAGGCATCCATATCTTTTTTCCTCACTTCTTCCCCGACGAACTATCAACGGCCCAAAATAGTCTATCCCGACGGAGGAGAAGCAAAACCAGCCTTGCTGCACTCGACACTTGGGGAGAGGTGCCATCATCTGTTGGCCTAATGTGGCTTTCGCGCGTATACACCTCACACATCTACCTATCACTCGTTTAACTGCACTGGTTCCTTTAACAATCCAATAATTTCGTCGTATGGTAGCTAACACTTGTGATGTCCCGGTGTGACCTTCTAGGTGGTGATTGTGTCTAATAATAAGTTCTGTTACGAAGTGATGACTGGGCAAAATTACCGGATGTCTGATTGAGAGTGGATAATCCGAGTAATTTAATCGTCCGCCGACACAAAGCAATCCATCGATTAGCGTAGGTGAAAGATTTCTTAGCTCTTTTATATCAGTTGCGCTTACGCCATTGCATCGAGACACTTTTACTGCTTCCCCATACACTTCCTTTTGCACTAAGGCTAATA